ATTAAATTAGTGCTCCTGTTTGCTCTTGCATGACTCCGTAATGGGTTTCACCCCTTGTAGAACTTAAATCCGCTAATTAACAGAAGTTGATTTCTTCTCAAGTTCAGGGTACAAGGTTTTTGGAGTTTTTATCCTGGGCAAAATCCTACTAATACTTCCTAGTACATGTGCAGGAAAACCAACATGCTTCTCCGGTTTGTGGAGTACCTGTGCCATTTGCCGTAGACACTGTGAGTGGCTTGACGGGAGGCCGAACGTCTGAAGCAATACACAAAACAGAAAATACCTTTCTAGTGGCCCAATGTACCTTATTTGTATTTAGTATGTCTTTTCTTTAGTAAATGCACTGCTTGGATCCAATTTAGTTGGATACACACTTAAAACTTCTTCCAATTTAATACTCAGCTCCTTGGCTGGCAGAAGTGGAATTTACAAGAATTTATATTTCTCAGCGTAATTTTAATTAAAATATACATTCAGAGGCAAAGACAGGCTGGATTTTTTTTAAAAAACATCAATGCTGTTTAGGGAAACAGAATTAAATAGATAATGAAAGCATGATGCTTCTTCCTTTGGACAAAGCACAGATAATAATTCATAATAAAATGAATTAAAATTATATTAAACCTTGATTAAAATAAAATGTAAGTAAAGAAAATTATTTCAGTGCTTCTCAAGCAGTAGAAGAGAATATAAACAAAAGGCATCTAAAGCTAGTCAAAAAGGTGGACTTTGTAAGCAAGATAAAGCTTAAAATATCAAAATTTGTACAGTCCAAAACCGAATCTTAATCAGAATGTTTAGCTCTGACATCTTTTTTTCATATGCATATTAGTGTATCTGTCTTAACTTGCTTGAAGAGGAAACCAATAATATGTATAATAAGCTTTTTACTCCGCTTTGCTATGGAAACAAGGCATGTGTGATCTCACTCCCTGACTTTCTGTATTTTCTCAGATAATTTTTAACTTGTTGGATGATCTCACCTAATTAGAAAGGGAAAAAAAAAAAGAAAAAATATAGAGGTGGTGTCAAAAGTCATTTCTTTCCTACAGTTCATGGGAAACAGGTAAGTAAAGGTGAGACACTCAACTGCATGGGACCGACAGGAGCAGGAACCCACTCATTCCGTGAGACCGGAGAGCTGGAGTGGCGTGGGATGGGTGGGGATGGACTCCACCACAGCCACAGCGGAAGCTCCCATCTCCCCCAGCAAATCAGCCACGGCACGAGGCCAAGCTTCACACAGCTACCCGTCCAGCTCCTGTTCAAGCGACTTTCCAAGGTAGTTCTTTCAGGCTGGCTGTGTCCAGCTCTGGGCTCCCCGGTTCAAGAAAGATGAGGAACTCCTAGAAAGAGTCCAGAGGAGAGCAACTAGGATGATTAAGGGACTGGAGCATCTCCCCGATGAGGAAAGGCTGAGAGAGTTGGGCTTGTTCAGCCTGAAGAAGAGAAGACTGAGAGGGGACCTCATCATCACATGCAAATATCTTAAGGGTGGAAGTCAGGAGGACGGAGCCAGACTCTTTGCAGTGGCGCCCAGCAACAGGACAAGGGACAATGGGTACAAACTGAGACCTAAGAGGTTTCAGTTGAATATGAGGAAAAACTTCTTTACTCTGAGGGTGACAGAGCCCTGGAACAGGCTGCCCAGTGAGGTTGTGGAGTCTCCTTCTCTGGAGATATTCAAAGCCTGCCTGGACAAAGTCCTGTGTAACATGCTCTAGATGAACCTGCTTTAGCAGGGGGGTTGGACTAGATGATCTCCCGAGGTCCCTTCCAACCCTTGCCATTCTGGGATTCTGTGTCTCTTGTAATAAAATTGTAGTTTTAAAGAGAGACACATAGTAGAATATGCGAGAAAAAGGGACAGAAAAATCCCTTCCAAAATGGCATTAATATTCAAGCTCGTGATTTCAGCTTTTCAGTCTTTTTTCCTACCTCTCATGTTTTCCTTATTTAGGTCTGCAATGCTTGCTGTTGATGGTAATAACAATGTTTTTCAAGCCTGTACACAACAATATTGACCTGTTGTTGATCAATGTACCAGCAGTGTATAATAACATGGCGCGGTTTTCCCTCCAGCCACCAGCACTTGTCCATTCCAGGTTCATTTTACCTGAAGGAACAGACTGCTTCAAAAGCAGCCCCACCTGGACTGCTCTAGCCAGGAAAAACAAAGCAAAACCAAGACCTTCTTAACTGAAAAGACCATTCCTATTTGGATAGGCGACACTACAATAAATTGCAGCCTTCATGTAACTGTGCCTACTTACTAATTCCCTGGTGAGTTAAAGTTAAGGCACTGTGAGAGTAATGAAGTCTTTAACTTGATTGGAAAATGTTTCGTTATATGAACAAATGAGTCACTTGTCCACACCCAGGATCTTCCCCCCCCATTTAACTGTACAGAAGCATTAAAATATAACAGCAGGGAATTCAGCCAGGTTTCATCTCCCCCGCCAACAGCAACAACCTGCAGATACACATAAGATTTCTATAAAAAAACCTAAGTTCCAAGCAAGAGAATTAAAGATTTTCTTATTTCTAGCAAAAGTTAGATGCTCTTATTTTAACCTTTGTTCATGTTCATACTTCCAGGCATGAAGTGCTACTAAAGCACGTTACACTTGGCATCTCCCATTACTGAAGCAGAAGGCAATGTAATCTTGTGAGAAAGTGTAATAATGCGGTATTCATTTTGCTTCTGTGGCTGGAAGCCAACTCTATATTAATATTCATTTCCAGTACACAGAGCTGCAATATTTCATTTATTTTAAGAATTTACAATTAATTTGGTATGATTCTGTTATCTGCTCCCAATTTCCTTCCCTGTTTCTTTTAGCTGAAAAAGCAGCTCTTGTATAGACTTTAAAAAAGTAAATTCACAACTGAAGCATCAAAAGATTGCTACTGGCTACTAAAAGCAAGAAAAACAGGGACAGAACAAAATGAACTTGAAATATTACAGATGACAATGAAAATTAGCTTTCTGCAAATGGCAAAAATTCCATCTGCAGAAGTTCTCAGTTGACTTTTTCCTTTCCAAACTCAGCTGATAAAACACCCTTTGCAGCATGCTGTTTGCTACTGTAACCAAACCAGAGAAAGTTGTTTGTCTGCTTTTCCTTTCTGTTTTCAAATGTTTTCAACCACCCCATAGCATTAAACTGCAAGTACTCTCGTGGATCTTTGTAAAATGTAGCAGATATAGGCATTTGAAACAATTACAGTAACAAATAAAATCCTTAGGATTTTAAAAATTCAGAAAAAACTTAGATGCCTCCACTTCCTAGACCTTTGGTTTCAACTAGTGCAACCACTTTTGCAACCTAAGTGCATTTATAATTAACAAAAGTTATTACCAGCCATTCTCCTAATATGCATCTACTTTCCTTACCTGTGAAAGAGGCTGAAAAGCATTTTACCTTCAAGCTGTTGGCACTTACTTTCCTACAAAAGTGAGATTATACCCAAGTCCACAGACTCAACAGACACCAAGAGAGCAGCCAGTAGAGCAGCTACCACATCAGAAATCCCATCAAGGGTGAAACCATCCAAGATCTGCAGTGTGCTGTGGGAAATGCCAGTTTTTCTAATATATCCTGGCAATATTTAAGAGGAAAGAGGGGAGGGAAGGGAAACTGACTGTGAAAGCTATTTAAGTGAAATGAGACTTCCCCATGTTCAAAAACCATCATGAAGACTCCTAGGACGCATTCCCTGATATATGTGTACGTTCACACATACATACGAATAACCTATTTTAGCAAAGCTTGTCTGTCAGTACAACACAAGATCTGAGTCTTAGTCTAGAATAAATGCTTAGGAAATTACATGGTGAACATGGAAGACTGCACACAGTATTTAAATTTTTAATCTTGAGTTTTGCCATTTTTGGGGACTAGATCCTTTTTGTTTGTATAGATTTGGGAAAGAAGAGAGGGGGAGGCAGAACAGCTTTCCTGAAGTATGTCTGAAAATTTAGCCTTAAAAATCAAAGAATTTTGACTGGGTAAGGTATGTACATGCTTTAAAAGATGGTGAGATCACGCCACAGATGCACTGAAGAAGCCTATATATCGTGCACCGATTACTGAATAACATAACATAGCATGGTGGTGCTACTTTATTACTAAACCAGTCTCTTCACCTGCAATCTAGTCAATCACAATGATTATACCCAGAAATAGCCTCATGTTCTATACAAATATTTGTAATTAAAAATTAATAAACCATGTTTTCCTTATCGTTCATTTGCGTTTCCCTATTACTAATTAAAAGGGCCAAAAGAACAGCTGGGGAGACAGACTAACTGGACAAAACAGAGTTCATGAAGGAAAACAGATAAAGAATAGATGATACAACAGCTTATCTAAAAATGCTTTTTCTGTCCTCATATCTTTAATTTAAGAGCTATTTTAAACACCACGTTTGACAGTGTGAAGTATTTTTCCCTTCTTTTTAAAAAGCAAAAATAATTTTAAGTAGATGCTATCCCTGTATGCACTTCGAGTTTTATTTCCTGAAATTTAACTAGCATATTTCTAACCTTAATAAAGTGTTTGCCATTTTATTTTCAGCCAGCCAAATTACAAAAGTGAAAGAGGTATTTCATTTGCATGGTTTAGCTATTTTATATCACATTTAACATATCTATACATTGCTTCTAAATGGTTGCACAACAGGAACAGAAAAAAGAAGAAACAGGACGAGTCCAAAAATAAGGCACCTTCCAATCAAGGATATTAATTCTGTCACTTCAGTTGCCTGAACACTGCATTTCAGTTTCAACATACCACACTGTATCAAAACCAAAAAATATGTTTTCTTTTTTCATTAAAAACGAGAACAATTTGAATTCTACAAATTAAACCTGGAACATGCTACAGATACTTTTAGTTTGATATCCTAAAACTTCAAGTCATCTCACAGAAATTAATTGTACAGACCATTCATCTCATCTGCAAACTCAAGTAAAAAAATAAACTAAAGCTTACCTTCAGTACACTGCAGGAAGCTGATAATGAGCAGGAACCAAAAACTTTGCATTCTGCAGCCAGAAGACACCATTATTGATCCCTGTAAGAATTTTCTTTGTATTCCTTAATGAATCCAGTTATAAAAGCCCAGCATCATCGAAACCAGTGGTCTGCATTATTCATCTTCATACCTGGAGAAGCAGAGGATTTGGAAGAAAAAGAGAGAAAAAAAAAAAATCCATCAATAGCTGAACACCAATAATTTGGAATACCAAATTTTACTTGACATGAAGACAGAAATGTTTAATAAAAGCTGACAGTACACCTGTACTGTAGCTGGGAATTTGGCAGGTTTGTGGGGTGTAATCTCTTGAGGTCAGTGATCATTAAACAGAATGCCAAATAATGATACACGTTAAAGTTGAAAGTACGAATGTAATTGATGTACTTGCACTAAGACACATAAAAAAAAAAAAGAACGTTTTCTCTGAATATAAGAAATTGGATTTGCAGATGACTAGGCTAAGCTTTTCCCACTCCCCAAACCTGACACAAACGCCATTTCTCTACCACAAAGAACAACAATACCATTACAGCTAGGGCACTGCCATTTTCCTTAATGATTCGGAACATGGAGCAGCTGAGAACAACGGAGCGACTCCGCTCCACGGGACAGCTCTGCAGGCCTCCTCCCTGCCCGGCTCCCGCGTTCCCCTTGTGCTAAGGTAGGTCGCTCTCCTCGGAGGAGGAGCCCTCACAGCAACTTTGCCAACAAAACACTCTCTTTGGCGAGGAAGCCTCTTCGTATGACTCTACAGTTTGCTGTGTTTCTACCCAATAAACACTTCCAGAGACAAGGGAATAAACATAACGGATGAGACTCTCCTGTCCTTAGCCTCTGACGAGATTTGTCTCTGACTGAGAAATATGAACCCAACTGCTCCTGTAAACGATGTACCAAAGGAAGAATTCTTAAAGCTATCATTTGCATTTGAAAAATATAATTATGGTGATAGAGTGCAGTTGGTGTGATAGAAGATTTGACAGCAGAGTGCTCCCTTTCCCTAATGACTCCATTCCCTCACCAGCCAGCTAAGTACCTACTTCCTCTTCCATATCTCATGGACGGAGCCAGATCATGCTTCAGCCCCGACTATTAGAGTTTGGGAAGCTAGGGAAAAATGAACATCCATATAAAAACAAATGCTTTTTAACTACCAAGCTGTCTCTATGTATTACAGATACGCGAAACAACTCTGGACGAATGACACTCTGAACGTTGCGGCAATTACAGATCCAAAGAGCCGGGTCTGGTGCCACATTGGCTTGGTCTCTCCAAGACCAATGGACGGGATTTGCGTGGTTGTATTCCTGAGATATTTGAAATTAACATTACTCTAAAAACATACAGCAATGACCGTGTAAAAATTTAAGTGGCAGGATCCAAGGGCCACTTATGAGTCTTACAAGTACTGGAGCATGTTGAGGGCTTTAAAAATACATTTACCCTTTTGGCAAGGAGAACTGGAAAGGATGAAGAGCACACAACGCCAGACAAAGCAATTCTGTGAACCGCAGATCATTTTCAGAAGTAGAAAGAGTAACTCCTTTTATATTAGTCAATGTTAATATTAATCAATGATAAGTTTGTTCCCTGAGCACACAGACAGCAACAAGACTGACACTTGCTTTTTTCCCCCAAGGAGAGACAGATTGGAATTAACACAAAACATTATGGAACAATTTCCCTGGCTCTCAATGAAGGCAATGCAACGGTGGCAGAATAGGAGATTATTAAATAGCCAAGCAGGCTTCTTCACTTGGCTCCTCTTTAAGAGGAGCGATGCCACTTCAGCGCAGGCATCCCTCTCCCACCACACAAGCGTGCCTGTGATTTCTCACACAGGGAAATGAAAGAGAACTGAGACCGACTGATTTTATGTTTACTTATACATAAAAACAAACCCTTTTTCCGATTTCCAACTACAGACAGGTGCTCTTCAATCACAGGCGCTTTTATCTCCACATATTTCAACAAAGAGCATGCAATAGCAAAGGGAGCGCTTCGGCGCAGGACAGCCAGAGCGTGGCTCGCCCTGGCACAGACCCATGTGCCTAGAGGTAAAAGATGTGCCCTCAATTTAGATGGTGATGCACCAGCTGCTACAGGACAACCCAGAAGCGGTTTATGAAGAGACAGTCATATTGCGGCTCTACATCTTTCACACCAGGCTGTGAGTGTTTTGCAACTAAAAAAAACCCCAAAAAACCCAAAAAACTAAAAATCCACAAAGGATGCACTGCATTCAGCAGAAATTACAATTGCAAAGGAGCTCCTGCTGAGCAAAGAAGAAAAAATTGCCACCATGATATATCCAAAAAAAAACCCCTGGAGATAGTTCAGCTAAAAGCTTGGGAAGAGCCTGGAGTAATTTTTTTACCTGTAGCACCCAAAGGAAAAATCATAAAACTATTTCACAGACACTACAGACTAATCAGCATAATTTCAGTATGCAATCAGAATAATCCAAGAGAATAGATGAGGAACAATAATGGCTAAAAGTGAAATTAAGTCAGCCTTCTGATTGCTCCCAGTCTGTCCAGAAGAGCTTGACTTCCTGAGAGTCAAGTTTTATCGTTATTTCCCTAACACATCACTGCACACCCAGATTTTGAGACATCTTCCTTCACCTTCAAGCCGATAGTGGCATAGCTGTGCTTTATCATCCTTGAACTCATCGCTTCCTTGTGGGCTTTTTTTTTTAAATTGGAGGGAGGGGGAAAGGTTGTGTTAAAAACAAAAACAATAATCAAAGCACCACTTGCGGTACCCAACATCCCTCTAGGAAATAGCTCAAAAATTTACGGCAGAGACTTTTCTTCTTTTTTTTTTTTTCTTTTAACTCAAATTCCTGACCTTGTAAACTGACTGATTTTACCTATTTTTATAAGAAACCACAGTTTCTGAAAGGATATTGCTGGTTTTGTGATACCAAAACCAGCAGAAACTATTCAACTAAGAATAAAGGCAAAATATTTTAAGGACAAATTTAAGTGCTTTGTGCAATATATTGTTCTCTCTAGATTGCTGTAGCCTACAGACATAGAATTTAACTCAGTGTGCTGCTGCAAAAAGAATTCAAAATAAACTAAGCAGCCCCTACCAGATTATCAGTAACACATGTTTTTCTAAAAAAGCAAGAAAAAAATTAAGCAGTATTTGAAAACTGATGCAATAGGGTTTGGGTTTGCTTCTTTCTTTTCTTTCGAATAAAAATTAACAGCTTCGCAGTGAACAATTTTTCATGCAACCTATGTATTTGAGAAACTCTATGTGACTCCAAGTAAAAGAGCAGTGCAGTTCTGAACCAACTATTCATCAGCGTAACAAAAGCTAATCCTGAAAAAAGGTACCCAGACATGAGCCGGAGCCAGAGAGCACTCTGGCTATAGACACCGCCGTCAGCTGCGTCCTTCTGACCGTCCATCCATCAGCGATACGGAGACCAGCAGTGGCATCTCACAACAACAACAAATCCCAAACCAAACAAGTAAGGCCAGAAAAAGACGTATTAAGTTACTTCTTTGTAAACAGAAAAAGGAGACCATGGCGAGCGGCTGTCCTGCGCAAATAACTTATTTCCCCTCAGACCTTAATAAACCTTTTCTCTGGATCACTTGATGGCTTGGGTTTGTGGGTGGGGCAGAGAGAAACTCCCTAGAGCAAAAGGTTGCTTGAATTTCAGAGTGCAATAAAAGCTGCCCAGAAAATTTCAGTTGTAACTTAAATCCCTACCTCTGGGCCATGCTGCAGTCTCTCATAGCAAAAAAACCCACCAAACCTCTACTGGAAACAGAGAAGATCACCTTGTTAAGTTCCTTTGCATATGTGCTGTTAAAGGAGACTAGATCAGTACTGGAAATGTTAATGTTCAAACCTGTACCCTGCAAAGGTGTTAGGCATCTCTTCATACTGCATTCATAAGCTGTGCTCCAAGTCCAGAATATCTTAGTGCCCCTGCCTCGCTTCCTTGTTCTTCTCTACTTCTGAAACTCCTTACAGATGGAACACGACCGCTGCAGAATACGTGCCACTGCTGGCCATCCCTCTCCCCGCAACATCGCTCAAGAGCACCCCAGAGATAAGAGAAAGCCGCTCCAAGCATGCTCCTTGAAATACTTTCATCTTTGAAGAGAAAGACCTCTAAAGGACTGCCGCGTCCCAACTCTATTCTGTTTAACCTTCCCAAGGTTTTATCGTCAAAAGCCAAAAAAGGGTCTTTTAAGAGCTTCCGGACAACTGACACAGCATGCTCAAGAGCTGCCTTTTCCCTCCTGTTCCATCCAGCTTTTCAGGCAATTAAGACGGAGGGGAACGCAGAGATCTTTCCAGCTAAGCAAGAATGTTTTTCTTTAGCTGAGAGCCTTTCAGACTAACGCTCATGTATTTTACAATATAGTTAATTTTCCAAATCATCTTGGAAACACCGTGAAGCACTTGCAACCTCAGTCAAGCTTTAACATCTCTATTACAGAAATAAAAATTACACTAGCTTTACAGGCGATGAGGCACAGAGAGGTAAGGAACACCAGCCATAGCTGCACAGCTCATACGCGCCGAGGAGCTAGCAGAACCCAGGCAATCCTTCTTATAAATCCTGTATGACCTACCTTGCCACACACACAGCACCCCCATCGCCTTTCATAACCCAGTTTATGAAACTAAGTAATTCTGTCATATATCTGAGACACTCTGCAGAGAAAAGGAGGGGGAAGAGGAGGTAAGGGTGAATAGATATATATTCATACAATATAATAGACTACTTGGTCTCCTGAGAAATCATGTGTCCACGTGCCTTCCCATCATGAGGCTTTCCCAATTTAAAAAAAAAAAAAAGTAGTTAAACTTCTTATAATCTGTAACATAAGAATTTAATTAGCTCAGTGTGATTAGTAAAAGTGCCTAAGCCACATTAGTAAAATACTAGAGACTAACACCATTTATGATCCAAGAGCTACCGCTTTGTATATAGCGACAATGAGATCCAGCTCTAATTTTCAACATTGAACTTATCTTCAGATGCATTCACTATGAGCTATTCCTAAGTCTTCAGTATGGTTATTAAAAAAAATTACTTACATCAGTAACCTTGCATTAGTGCTACGGTACCAGATTGTCGAAA